CAAGGCTTTGTAAAGAGTACCCTGGAGATTCATCTTGCTGGAAGTAGTAGTGTTTGCTCCCATTTCCTTTTTTCTGTGCTTTTAGTCAGTATAAACATTCTACATTTTAAAAAGAAGCAGTTTGCTTGCCTCTTGCACATCTGGAGGTGGAGATCAGATGAGTGTGCTAGCCACTCAATTTTTTGAAAAATATGGTATTTAGCTAAACACCACTGATGGTTTTGGAACCTAGTTTTAATGGCTTTTTAAATCCTAGTCATAACTATTTCTATAATGGGCCATGGGATAAGACCATATTTCCCAAACTTTGTTGTACAGTGGAGTCAACCAGGGAACATGAAAACACTGGCTTCCACTCCCCAGGCATTGTGGCAGAGTCTGTGGCCTGGGTTTCAGGAGTTTTAGAAACTTCCCAGGTGATCCTACTTTGCAGCTGAAGTTTGGGAACTACTGGGTTAAACAGTGAGTCACTCAGAACTACAATGCTGAAGTACAAGAAGTTATAATGAGAATAAAAGGTAATATTTTTATAAACTTGCCCTTCAAGATGTTCAGTACCAGAAGTTCTGTTTACTTGGACAAAATGCACTTAAAAAATCAGGCTCTTTAGTACTTTAAAAAATCAGTGTTAGCAAGAGAAAATAAACTATAGAGGACTATGTTCAGATGTTTTAAAATTTACTGTCATTAAAAACTAACTTAAAATACATTTTAGTAAGAAGTTAAAACCTCTTTGTCTTGTTATTTGAAAAATAGATAATGACCAATTTTAAAATAAGACAATTGTCTTTAATGAAAGGATTTCAAATAAAATGGAAGTTAACTTGTTTCTTAAATTCTAATTTCTTTACAGATGCAGTCTCAAAATCAAGCTATATGCCATTATTTTATTTTTTCTAACATGCTTTTTTTTGCATTGTTAAAAGTAAACAGCATATATAGCTTGGCAGGAAAATGTCATTTTATGATGACTATTAAATATTAAAATATTTATCATTCATTATTTGAGTACATGTAAAGATTTTGCATAAAATCACTTTATCTTGTAGCTGGAAAAAATTGCTAATTGATTTCTTCTATTTATAAGAATAAAAGTTAAATTACTCAGGAAAACAAAGGGTTGGCTCTGACCATCGGTTATTTAATCCCCAGCTTTGCACCACTGGTGGTCTGCGCCTGTGCTTGACCATTTCCAGCAATATTTATTGGACCCCTCTTCTGGGTCACTTGCTCTTCTGTTTTACCTCAGTATGTCATTACAACTCTGTTCCCCTTTTATAATAAGAGACTTAGCTATGGTCACACAGCTAGTTAGCCTCATCTGGGACTGAATCCAGAACTGTTCAACAGCCAAGCTCATGACCATGATATCAGATGGTAAAACCTCTTCAGCTTGGTCCAGTCACTCCAAGGGCTAGAATAAGGATCATATCAAACCAGTTCTTGGTGGAGTTTTCAGATAGCTGAGGCACCTTGCAGGTCCCTCCAAACTCCATCTTCACCTTCTCTTTTCCGTGCTCACCATTGCCAGTTCCTACAACTGTTCTTCATAGTAGGGTGACCGTGTCTCAGGTTCTCGGGGATAGTCTTTGTATACAAACCTGCCATCCCATCCCTGTGTGATTATTAAGATCTCCTGTCTTTTACTTTCAAAAGTGTTCTAGATGGAATGATAAAAATTGTGTTTTAAGTTGTATCATCATCTTGGTCCCTTTTGTCTAATGTGTCTATATCCTTCTGTGTCTACAGTCAGACAGCTATTATTTTGAAATTGTGGTGTTTGAAATTCTGCGTTGACAAGTGGAAAATTGAGAAAAGATGTGGAGCCTTTTTTTTGTCATTGGTATAGATGACAAAGAGACTCCAAAGTACATCCTGTTGGTAGGGGTAACTTGCAAAGTTCAGCACATAAATCTCAATAAATCTAAAGTTTCTAGCTAATAAGACCACTGTAATCTGTGCAATTCTCCACACTGAGCTATCTGGAGGACAGCTTCTTTCCACCCAAGAGACCAAGTATCGATGTAATTTGGGACCTGACCTCTGATTCAGAGGCAAATGCTTAAATGTCTTAAATTTTTTTGAAGCTGATCGGAGGACTTCCTTAAAATTCATAGAAGCCCTGTACCATGTGTGGGGGGGTGGGGTAGGGGTAGAGCAGGTGATATGTATCTATGCTCACCAAAGATACAATTACAAATCAGACATTTCTTTGAGGACAGCATATAATAAAATGACTAATGTATAGGCCATCAATCAATAATTTCAAGTGAATGAAGTCAGGATTTTGCAATAAGACTTTCCTACTTGATTTTACTAGCAACTCAAGTGTTCAGTAGCAAAGGCTTTTTAATGTTTATTATACCACATCTTCATGATAGAATAATAAGCAATCATTAGAAGTCTAAAAAAGGAAGTTTATAAGTCATGCATACTTTTGGACTTGTCTGTTTTCATTATGCATTATATTATAAATAATTACATGTCAATACTTTAGACTCAGTTCCTTAAAAAATGAGTTACATGACTTAGGAAATGTTGTTTGGTCTCAATGAGCCTTATTTCATCCTGAAATGTTAGGGTAACAGTATATCTACCCACTTCTCAGGATTATTGTAATCATGATAGGAGATTAAATGTCAGAAAGTCCTAGCACAGAGCATAGCATGTAAAAAAAAAACTCTCAGTAAATACTCTGTGGGTCATGATAGTATGAGCTTTCATTAAAGGAGTATTATTAGCAAATTATTTACTGTGTGCTGATTCCAGTACCATGAAGGAGACAAAATAGATCTGATATTGTAAACTTAGTTGTCTGGGAGCTATATTTGATCCATTAGTGTGTTTCATTTGGCCAGAATGGTAATGGTTCAAAAAGGTTGTTTTTGTTTTTCCAATGTTCTTAATTGATTGCCTGCATTGACAATTAGATTTCACTAAAAACATTCAAATTATTAGTATCTAGCAAGACTAGCGGAGAAAGCAATGGCACCCCACTCCAGTACTCTTGCCTGGAAAATCCCATGGACGGAGGAGCCTGGTAGGCTGCAGTCCATGGGGTTGCTAAGAGTCAGACACGACTGTGCAACTTCACTTTCACTTTCCACTTTCATGCATTGGAGAAGGAAATGGCAACCCACTCCAGGGTTCTTGCCTGGAGAATCCCAGGGACGGGGGAGCCTGGTGGGCTGCCGTCTATGGAGTCGCAGAGTCGGACACGACTGAAGCGACTTAGCAGCTTCAGCAAGACCCTGATTCCCATATGGTAACACTATCTGGTTGCTTTACCTACCCTCTCTGGCTTGCCACAGTCTCTACCACTCCTGATAGGGCTGCCCCACTGTCATTTATCAGTACTGGTGGCCATTTATTACTGTTTCTTTCAGAGTAAAACTAAGAGCAAAGTGGAATATGTTTATTGCTATCAAGTGTGGAATAAGATAAGATTGATAAGGATTCACTCTCAAGAAAAATTCTTCTCACTCAGGTCTTTTTCACTCAATATGTGTTACCTACCTGACCCCATAGGTGTTTGTACGGAACCTGTAGCCTCTCATAAAATTCTAGAGCTATAGCAAACCAGCACTTTAGACCAGATAATCATCTTTTCTTCATTTTATGCATGAGTTAAGACCCCTCAGAGACAGTAACATGCCCAAGATTTTAGTTAGAAACAAATTTGAGGCTGAATCACATGTAGGGTGTTGTCTTTTTTTCAGACTTCTAAAATTTTTATTATTTTTGTCTTAATTTTTAAATAATGGAAATTAGTGTCAATTCTCTTCAGAGTAAACAATCTCTCTAATACCTCTTCCCTCTACAAAATATATATGTAATTCATGGCTTTTTAAATGCATATTTTTAGCATTTTTCCAATAATGTCAAGAAGCTTTTTAGTTCAATAAGCTTTAGTTTTCTTGCAATGCTCCTAGTGTTTTAAAAGACCATTTGAAAAGTGCTGTACTTTGCATTGATGGTTTTCCTTTTTTCCAAGAATGGAGAACCTGGATAGAATTTGTCCCTGAAGGCCATGCAACCTTGAAACCTGCATGTGGCAGTAGTTTGGGCATTGTCGGTTGCAGACGTGGTTGGCTCTTGACTACCTGTGAAACCAGAAGCCCCGTGAATAATAGATTCATGTATGTGTCTGTAATTACTTTTAACTATTGATTTCAAGCTTCTCCAAAACATTACTGAATACAAGTAACAAACAGCTGAATTAAACCATTTTATAATACTTTTATGTTCTTTTTCTTCCCCTCTCCAGTTTCTGGAAAGGGAACCAACCCAAAGGAGTTGGAAAGCAAATGACAGGATAATTCACAAATGACTCTATCCTAAATAAGTGAGATATAACTAGGATGTATAAAAACAAAAGGTTCTTTTGAGATTTATGGTGTGATTGAGTTAATTTAAAGCTAGAACAAAGCAACATAGCTAGTAATTCCATTAAGAAAAGAGCACTTTATATTTTCCCTTTGGGAACACTACCTTTTATCATTGGATGTGAAACAGTTTTATATAGGAGATTTTGGATTATATTCATTATGAAACAATCCTAAGCATAAATAGTTTTGGTTTCTATTTCAAAGATTATTAGTATTATTTAGATTATAAGAATAATCTATACTTATTACTAAATAAGGAAAGTAATAAGAAAAACTACCCTTAACCCCATCACACAGACTTAAAATATGAATGTATATTTAGAAGCTTTTGTTCAGTGAGTTAATACAATAGCTCATGTCTTCAGAACTGTCCACAACTGGAGTTTTAGATACTAAAAAAAAAAAAAAAAAAAAAACTTCAATGGATTTTAGGAATAGTCTAATGCAATACTATGATAATTGTTGGAAGGGACAAGGGACACCCTGAAAAGAAAAGTTCACATCTATGAAAGTTGAAGTCATGGCCTATCGATCTTTAGTGACAAGACCAGCAGAGGGGATGAAGACAGAGGACCTTGACTCACAGTAAGTGCTGTTCCTGAGAAAGAAGACATGAAACAAGAGCTGTGTGGTCAGAGGCCTGGTGACCACGCAATAAAGGCCACCTTCCAAGAGGACTGTGGGATGAAACAGCATTGTTACCATGGGCCCAGCCACTCTCCTATGGAACCATCAAAACCTGAGGCAAGGACATACACCGAGAAGCCATTTCTCCCATCAGTCAGAGAAGGAGACGGAGGTAGACTTTTAAGAAGTTCAAACGGCATGGTCCCAAGGGCCGAGTGGGGAAGACCCAACGGGAGAGCAGACCAGAGCAGAAATAAGCAGTATTGTTATGATAATCACTCAAACTGATGCTTTAAATTCTGGTTCAGAAACCTCATTGGGTATCCATCTTATGAAGGGACTATCCTTGGAAGAAAATATACCAAATGAATAAGACACAATCCTCAGTATCTGAGACTGATACGGGAACAATTATTATAATGTGATAAATGCAATAACGATGTCAAACAATATATGTTGGGATTAACTCCAACAAAGATGGGAATCCAGGGTTAAAGAATGCTTATCAGAGAAGTCCTCAGGGCAAGAAATTGAAAGATAGATGGAGCTCTGCCAGCCCAGAGAGACAGACAGAGGCAGTCCAGACAGAGAAAGCAGTTGATGCAGCATGCAGAGAAGACAGATGTTTTTGCCATGATCATCTGCAAGTTTGTCAGGTAAGCAATTATTCTGAATCCACTACCCTTTAAGGTTAATTGAAAGATGAATGTTTAAAATACAGTAAAAATCTCTGTAGAACAGGCTAATGGGAAAGGCTTATCTTGATCAGCTAGATTCTTGAAGATGTGGGCTTGTATTAAACATACCAAGGCATTCAGACAAGAATGACTGTTGGATAATAAGAATTTTAGAAACTGACAATGAATAGCTTATAAATTTCTGCTTCTAACATGCTCTGTTCCTTTTCCCTTACAATCTTGATTTTACTAAGAATTTGCGAAACTCACCTTCTTTCACTTGCATCTAAAGCAGAATAAATCCTGAATCAGAATAATAAATATTTACTGTACTATTTTGTGTTTTTTAAAAAAACTTTTTTGGTTACTAAAAGAACAGTCTACTCTTTAATGAATAGTTGACCTAGTAAATATTTTCTCATGGTTTAATTTGGTGACAGAAAGAACAAGAAGGCCTAAAGATAAATATCTTTAAAATCATACCTTCATTGCCAACTATATAACTTCATGTCAAGATCTAACATAATTAGAAAAAATAAATTCTCTGTGTTATGCCAGCATAACCAATTCCATGACATTTGAATCATCACGAAGCTAAAATTGTTTCCTGATTTCTTTTATAGAAGACTTTTTAAAGTATACAGTATATGTTACTGTGTACTCAGTTTTATGGAATGTGGAGGCAGCATCTGATTTAATATTTTCTATTTGGGCTGTTTACTTTGTAGTCAAACATTCTTCAAAAACATTTGCATCTCCCCCGACATTTTCCATCCAAGGCTGTCAGTTCCTGTTTAGAAAGGTTAATGGAGATCTGGAGTCACCAAGCCTCTGATACAGAAGCAGCTCTTGCTGGCCTTTGAATCTGCTGCCAGGTCTGATTCTACATGTAAATATTTGGCTGAGTGGGTTACATTTTCTTTTTCCACACCAGTCAGGGGAGCGAAGTTACCATAATGAAACTTATGAGAAACCTAACTTTGATTTTTTGCATAACTTCTTTTGGCTAAATTCTTAGCTGTTGTCAAATTTGCAGACGCCTTCATTACTGCTCTTCATTAAACTTTCAGCCTCCTTGGGAACTGCTGTGTGGACCAGCAGATAATACAACATATTTGTGGGAGGCCAGCCTATTTTAATTAACTTGCCTTAATGTCATAGAGAAGGTTGGGTTGAGTGGGCCCCTCGCCATGACCCTTAACTCTTGAAAAGTGAGCATCTTCTTAGGAGAGCCAGCTTGGAGCAACTTACTTCAGGATGCCGACGTGTTTCTTTTTTACCTCTTCAGAAAGCAGAGCCTGCTTTGGAATGTGGTGGAAATAACCCACCACAGAAGAAATCATCAGTGGGCCAAAGAACTTGCTGCTAATGTTGGCTTTTTGCCATGGCCTCCAGACTGTGGAAGGAAGAAACTTTGTCTTTTTCCACCACTTCACTTGCTCTTTCCAGCTGGAGTTCACCCACCCAATTCAGACCCAAGGAAGGGAGCTGACCAAGCCAGCCCGTATACTCACTAGAATATAAAGTAATCCACAAGGGTGGTTTTAAATTTTCTAGTAGCCACACTATTTTATTTTATTTAAAAAACAAGTTAAACAGATGAAATTAGTAATTTTAACAGTATATTTTTTGGACTTCCCTGGTGATAACACTAGATGAGAACCTGCCTGCCAATGCAGGGGACGTGGATTCTATCCCTGGTCCAGGAAGATCCCACATGCCACGGAGCAACGAAGTCTGTGTGCTACAACCGCTGCACCCATCCTTTAGAGCCCATGAGCCACAAATACTGAAGCCCCCACACCTAGAGCTGTGCGCCACAATAAGAGAAGCCACTGCAATGAGACGCCCTAGTGCTGCAAGGAAGTGTAGTGCCTGCTGGCTGCAACTAGAGAAAGCCCAGGAAACAACAAAGAGCCAGAGCTGCCAAAAATAAAATAAATTTTTCAAAAATAGTATATTTTAACCTAACATATCTAAAATATCATTTCAATGTTCAGTCATTAGAAAATTTATTAAAAAGATATTTTACTTTTTTTAACTAAGTCTTCAAAATCTGTTGTTTATTTTATGCCGAGTATATTTCAATTCAGACATTAAGTTTCCATTGGAAAAAGATGTTCAGATATTTAGATTTCATTAAAGTAATAACTGAAAAGATAGATTCACAAGTTGTTCTGAACATATTAAAAAAATGTTTTCAGATAACTGAACCAAGTGTCAGTTTTTAAAAATCAATTGAAATTAAAGTATTCCATTTCTTTGGTGCACCAGCCCACATTTCAAGGGCTCAATGGCATGTGTAAATGGTGACTTCCATACTGACAGCACAGAACTGTAGCCTTGCTAGTGAAAGTGTGGCCTACCCACTAGCGTCATCTGGGATTTTCTTGGAAATACAGAATCCCGGGCCTCACCCCAGACTTACTGGATCAGAATCTACAGTTAGCAAGATTTTCCAGTGATTCATATGTAGAATATAGTTCAGGAAGCACTGATCTGCTTAAGACACCAGGGAAACTGGTATTATTGCATCTATTTTACAGAGGTATATTGAGGCTCTTTTTATACCCTTCACACTGTTCATGGGGTTCTCGCAGTAAGAATACTGGAGTGGGATGTTAGTCCCTTGTCCAGTGGACGACCTTTTGTCAGAACTCTTCATTACAACCCATCTGCGCAGCATGGCTTATCGCGTCCTTGAGTTATGCAAGCCCCTTAACCACAAGGCAGTGATCCATGAAGGGCCAGGAAGGCCTGACGTGCTGCAGTCCATGGGGTCGCAAAGAGTCAGACATGACTTAGCAACTGAACAACATCATATTGAGGCTCAGAGAGGTTGCATATTGTGTCTAAAGTCACAGAGCTCGTAAGTGTAGGAGCTAAAATTCAGACTCAAAGCTTGCCCATGTTTAAGCCCACACTCTTTCTAATATTTATCACTCAATGCGTGAAACATGTTACTAATGGCATGAAAGGTCATTTTAAATGGTGCCCAGGAAGCATTCTAAAAAGCACTGAATACAAAGTGTGAAGGTTTGACCATTTTCTGTCCTCTTTTAAGTTTTCTAATATGGTCAAAGATAAAACCTCTGATTGATGACAGTTTGTTTTCAGTACCTAACATTTGCTGTAAGTGGGCCACAGCCTCAGAACTTTCAGTAAGGGAGGTAACAAGGTCTTCATAGCTTTGTTTCCTTCCGTTGTATTTATTCTTACTTCTACCATCTATTTATGATGAATGATGCTGGTTTTCTATTTACAGCAATGATGCATAGACACTTAAATACACTTGATTAAGTAGGAGAGTGGTTATAAGTGTGAATGTAGACAGGGCACAGCTCTGGCCGCCTGGGGAAGGAAACATGAGGATGATGAGGTGTGGGAAACACTGGATGAAGGTGCTTCCCCAGGAGGCATGTGAGTAGCAGTTCCAGCCCTAGAGAAGGCTGGGAAGCACAAGAATGTTGTGTGTTTTTGTTGTGGGTGCCTCATCAAAGCACTTAACAAGAGTAAACTCTTCTTTGCGCCTGCGATGGATGTAATTATGTTTGGTTGGTTGGTTGAAAACCCAGCATTTCCTACCTTCCAGCTGGAGGTCCTCCTCTTGACCTCCTCAACAAAACCTCCTCCTCTTGACCTCTTCAACCCAACAGCAAAGCTGTGGGCACCTCTAGTTGAATGCTTTTGTTCCTGGATTTGCATAGAGTGGGTGCCATAAAGAAGCAAAGGCAGTGGCTGCACTGATGGCCCATGGCGGCAGTGATTTCCACGGCAGGACCCAGCAGAGGCAGCAAGGATGTCTAGACGGGGCTCTGACCTGATTCAGGGGCTCAGACTCCCTCAGCAACATCCCGTTTTCTATGCAGATTGCTCTCCTGGTTTCCTACTGTATCTATGGGCTATGCAGCATCATTCCAAAACAGCCTCCTCCCTTTATGGTAACCAGACTTGGTTTCTGTCTTTTACAAATAAAATCCCTATTAGAATGAGATTATTTGATTGTCCAGAAACCCACTAGACAACCAAATCCCTGAAGAGTATAGTCTGTATTTGCTTGTTCACATGGCATAATTCCCAGGTTTCAAACAAAGTTGGTGCTTCCCTGGTGGATCAGATGGTAAAGAATCTGCCTGCAATGCAGGAGACCCAGGTTTGATACCTGGGTTGGGAAGGTTCCCTGGAGTCAGGGAATGCCTAGAGATTCCCATGGACTGAGGACCCTGGCGGGCTACAATCCATGGGGTCGCAAAGAGTCAGACAAGACTGAGCGACTAAGCACGCAATAGTTATTTGATGAACGAATGAGTGTTAAATGAGTGAATGAGATGTCAATAACCAATGTTGGAAAGTCATGCTTTTGCTTTCTCAAAACGCATCAAGTGCATCCTATGACTTAAGAAAACCTATCTATGAAAATTAAACTTCAAAGATAAATTAATATCTAAATCGAAAGAACTCTTTATTTACAAAATGATTCACCCAAGATTGCTTCTCTGATTTTTTAAGTGTTGTTTTGTTTTCTAACTATAAGCTATTAGAGGAGCTTAGCACATAAAGGAAAAGTTTAATTTTTGTGCAGTGAATATGCAATGATTTCAAAATTAAAGG